CTATATTACATTCAGTAATTTGATTGGTATAGATAAACAATTGAATATATGTACCATTAAAATATTCGTATAAATAACCGGAAGTATTTTACGGGGGGTACTTTAGACCGCGCTATACGGTACATTTTATGTTCGAGTATGTTGAGAAGTGTAACGAAGATAATAATAGGATTGATTCTTAATTGGAATAAATTAATAATATCCGTTAAATAATTCTGCGTCGTTATAATAAAATAATAACGTTCTTACATAGTTTATGCGATGTAAATGTGTTTATCGCTTGTTTCCAGAAACTATGTACTGTATGTTCGGTGCAACAAATATTGACTGACGTCACGTAGCGGAACATGGTGGCTTCTACAGAGAAGAAAAAAGGGATTGTTTCAGTTTTATTGAAAAAGCACCTTGTGGCCCATGGCCAGGCCAAACGAGGAATTACTGTATGTCTTGTATGTAATGTTATTTTATTTATATATCATAATCGGGATCATACGACCAAGAAACAATCACGAATATTATCACACCCATTGTATCTTTTTTTTTTTTTTCTTCAAAAAGAGAGGCACCATATTAACATCATGTTCGATGCGTCATCAAAAAATATGAAATACTGATATACAGTACATAATATAGTTTCGCGGAGGGAGATTAGTGATTCATGTAGTGTACAATACCTCCGGATAAAACCTACCAGGGTTACCATAATTGCCCGAGCCAACCAAGATTATCAATTTACTATTAGTGAAGTTTATTGATTATTTAACATTAATTGCGTAATTGAATTTTCTATATATGCATTAAAAAACCGTTTCTATAACGAGCTCTGGCTTAATAATAGCCTCAATGTCTAAAGGAATATTCGTTATTCTTTGTGAAAAAAGAAAATTACGTACACGAAAATTTATATTTTATTAAATACATATTTTTGAACATAATGCTTAATGGGGATTTTATGAACACGATTGGATAGAAAAAAATTTTTTAAAAGAATCATCTAATGAATCATCTATGGAGGAGGAGGGTTGAGTGTCTGAACTAGTCCAGTTGTCATAGGCCCAGCAATAACCTCAACCTGCGAGTTGCTCGGATTGACTCTATTTCTCTTTTTTTATTTTTGTTTTATTTTTGTTTTTTTTTTTAAAAAAAGAATCATCTAATGAAACGAGATTCCAGTTATAATATCATTTCCCGGAATCGTCTCTGGAGGAGGAGGGTTGAGTGTACCGAAAAGGTCTGCCACTAGTCTAGCTGTCATGGGCCCAGCAATAACCTCGACCTGCGAGTTGCTCGGATTGACTCTTCTAATTCTTGTTTTTCTAATATTTGGCGGGGAATTATTCAACATCTCTGTTAATGTTGCATAGACTCTTTTTCGACCTCGACTTAACCGTCGCCAAATATACTGCGTATCCTAGATCGCAAGAATGGTAGGTTCAGGCTAGGTTTGTTGGGTAGTTGCTCAATAATTCGGTAACATTGTCGAGCACTTAGTTCTTTGAAACGGGATTGAGCGGACCAGTCATTTCGTAAAATGTCGTATAAAACTCGATGGCGAAATTGCAAGAATGATGGAATGGCTGCAACTCATGAGGAAAAAAGGTATTATTATGTTAGCCTTTCTATACAGATATGATCGACAGCATCACGGAGTTATATGCTATATATGCTGTACGTATATAGAAAGTTAATAATAATAATAAATTCGATAAATAAAAAAAGGGTAATTTCCGATTGAAAAGTGAAAAAATCGAAAAATTCCTTTAGAATTTGCGCGGGGAAATTTCTTCTAGAACAAAATTTTTCTGAAAAATATTTCTACCGAATAGTTCGTTGGCTCACAAGTTAAAATGAATTTTCGTTAGATCATATGTGAATGTGATCCGTATAGAAGGTCTCTCGCAATTCCTATTTACTGTACAGTACATAATCAATTATTAGTCATCGCGATAATAAAATCACAGGTAAAAATACTGTATTGTATTATAATGAAATCAACGATCGACCGATTTTTCGCATAAAAGAACTTTCCCGTAACCTTCGGGAGGACTACCGTATATTTTTTGAATAAAAAAGTTTTTTAATAAGTGACCTAATCTAATTCCGAATATAATCACGTAGTATCTCTTTTAAACAACAATAAATTATTATCACTAAGTTTAAAGTTAATGGTAAACAGTTACGCAAATATTCATCCCACAATCACGTCCATTGTTTACTTGGACACCGATACTTCGATGCAGTATCAGTCGGCGTGTCATAACAGAGCCCATGAGTTATCAAATATTTTGATGCGTTTTACTCGCAAAAAAAAAAAAAGAAAAGAAAAGAAAAGAAAAGAAAAAAGCAAATCGATAATGTAAAATAAAGAATCACCTATTTACTCTAATATTTACAAAATCTATCGGAAATAAATTTTTGTATTTTTAATTTAACTCAAATATGGGTAATTATTTTCGAAGGCGGACAGGGATTTTTTTGGACCCTGTAATTGTGATCCTAAAATTTGCATTATATGTATACGCATTATTCGAAACTGGGGGGCCGAAAAAATCATATTTAGTATTTTGATCGCCTTCAAGAATAATTGCTCATATTTTGAAAATGATACGGATCCATGCAGCGTTAGTATTATTATTACATAATTAATTAATTGATTAATTTTAATGATGTAGAGTCATTGGAGTCTAACAGTCAAATTTCATTTATAAAGGGAATACTTAACTACCTTTTGAATTTACCGTTAACCAAATTTTTTTTATGCAAAAATTTTCATATACTAAGCAATGTCGTTTTAAGAGGAAAGCTGTCTTTCACATCCCAAATCATTCCGCATAAATTTTAATTATTTTCTTTATTCCTATAATCCAAGTCATTTT